CCGTAATCTTAAAATTTTTTATAAAAAGCAAGTGAACTTGGACTAGGATTTAGGGACCTCACAGAAAAATACTCAAGAAAATAACAAAAAAATAAAAAATTTAAATTGCTTACTTTTAAATATACGCTCCATTAATTCCGAAAAAGTTGCATATAAATTAGTTGAATTGGAAAATTATTTAAATAAAAACAATATTCATGTAGCGTTTATATCCGAAACATGGCTAACCGATAAAATATCTTCCGAATCCCTCACAATTTCTGAAAATTATAATTTATTAAGAGTAGATAGAGCAAAATCAAGAGGAGGCGGCGTAGGTGTAGTTTATAAAAAGGAACTAAAAATTATATATATTCCATCTCTTTCAATCTCCGAATTTAGTCATGAGCTTCTTACCCTCGATATATACTCTGAATTTAAAAGGATTCGATTCCATCTAATATATAGACCACCAAATACAAAATTGTCAGACGATAAAAAATTTTGGGAAATTATAAAGAAAAAGTACAAAGATGAACTTTCAAATGTTATATTAGGGGATTTCAACTTCCCAAAAATAAATTGGCAGGAGTTTGCACTTCCGAAAGATAAACAAAGCTTATATTTTTATAATACAATAAATAAACTAAATTTAAATCAGGTTATAAGGGAGTCAACAATGTGTAACAATTCCCATACACTAGATTTAATTCTCCAAAATAAACAATTAATCGAAAAATATAATATTATAGAGGACTTAGTTCTGAGTGACCACAAACCGATAGTATTTGAAGTAGCTTTTCCAATCGATAAAATAACATCTGAAAATAAAAGAAAAGTTGTATTATTTAAGAAGGGAAAATATAAGATTATCAATTGGTATTTAGCTCAATATGACTGGTTCAATCTATTTAATGACAAAAATCCCTCAGAAATGGCTGAAATACTAAATTCTATAATAAGCCAAGCAATCCAAAAATTCATCCCATCTAAAAAATTTGGCAAAAAAATACCCATGAAATATCCTAAAGAAATTCGAGAAACAATCAAACAAAAGGCTGTTTCCTGGAAAAAGCTAAAATTAGGTGAGATCAGTAAGGAAGAATATAAAAGTCTTGAAATTAAATGTAAATTACAAATAGAAAAATATAAAAACAATTATCTGTCAAAAAGGATAGGATCTGGGCATATAGGGGAAATTCATAAATTAATGAAAAAAAATCGATATAACTTCTCTGGCATACCAATACTTAAGCAATCTGAGGAAAGTGACCCAATAATATCTGACACAGAGAAAGTTAATATATTTAGAACTATTTTTGAAGAAATAGTTAATGGAGATATAAACAATAAGCAAGCAAACCTTGAAGCCGATTATAGGGATGAATACCGGGAAGAAATTATTTTCGAACCATATATAATAGAAAAATTGCTTAAGAAGCTCCCCAATAAATTATCTCATAGCCCTGAGAGTAGCAATCAATATTTCTTAAAAAAATGTTCTACCCCATTAGCCCTTCCCTTATCAATTTTATATAACAATACATTCAAGACAGGAATTGTCCCTGAATTATGGAGAACTGCACATATTCTACCTATATTTAAAAAAAGGGGTCATTAAATGACCCAAAGAATTACAGACCAATTGCTCTAACATCTCCAATCTGTAGAGTTTTTGAGCGCCTCGTAGCGAATAACATATTAGAACACCTTAACAAAAATAAATTAATTGCCGAAGAGCAATTCGGATTTTTACCTAAGAGCTCGTGCACTCTCCAAATTCTATCATCTATGCAAGACTGGTACAACTCTCTTGATAAGAAAATAGGTACGGACATCATATATTTTGATTTTGAAAAAGCTTTTGATAAAGTAGATCACGAAATACTTATTAGGAAATTACATGAAATTAAAATAGATAGGGTAACAATTGCTTGGATAGCAAATTTTCTATCTAATCGATCTCATACTGTAAAAATAGGTGAGAATTACTCCGAACCATTTTTTCCGAAGACAGGTGTCCCCCAAGGAACTGTGTTAGGACCATTGCTGTTCCTGATATATATAAACGATCTACCCAAACATATTCCGACAAACATAAAAGTAAAATTATATGCAGATGATTTTAAGCTTTACTCAGAAATTAAAACCGAAAAAGATTGTATAGAACTACAAGAAGCTATAAATAATGCTAGTAAATGGGCAATAAATAATAGGCTAAAATTCTCTATCACAAAAGTTAAAGTTTTAAAAATATGCAACAAAATTAAGTTTAACTATGAGATAAATGGCGAAAAAATCGAAGAGGTTAATAACATAAGAGACTTAGGTATATATATAGATAACAAACTTAAATTTGATCAACATATAGCAAAAATTACTAAATCCTCATTTATAAGAGCAAATAATATCCTAAGAATATTACCAAAAACATTACCAATAGACACATATGTTAAGGCATTCAAGACATACGTAAGACCAATTATGGAATATTCCACTGAAAATTTTAGCCCAAAACTAGAATATCTAAATAAGCAATTAGAGAGACCTCAAAGAAGCTTTACAAGGAAAGTTTTAAGATATAAATACAAATACCAGAAAATAAGCTATAACGAAAGACTAAAAAGATGCAAACTCCCTCCAACTAATATTCGTCGTATAAGAACAGATCTTATGACAACCTTCAAAATAATAAAGGGGTGCTATAAAATAAATCCAGAACAAATATTCTCAAAACCTAATAGAAATAATCCGCGCTTGCACAGATATCAAATATTTAAGAAACAAGCTAAGAATAATCATTTCTTTTCACATAGAGTCATAGATAGGTGGAATAAACTTCCAAAAAAAGAAATTGAGAAAATCAATACTATACCACAATTTAAAAAATTTTTAGACAAAATATTAACTACAGAAGATTATAATTTATCAGTATGAATTAATGGAGTGTATTAACATAAAATCCTAACCCAAATGTTCACTTTCTTACCTAAACAAATTTACTTAACATTTAAATAAAATTATTTTTAATACAAATATTCTTTTACACCTAAATATACCTATATATTTTTTATAACATCTAATTTTATACATTTAATTTGTTTTTTTTCTGTGGAGTCCATTATTTATTTATTTTTTTTTAACTTAACATTTAAAAAAACCGTCATATTGTATTTGATTTTTTTATACGTTACCTCTCCATAAGTGATCCCTGTGGATCCAGGAGTTTTATTTTATTGTTTCACATTATATTTATTTGTGTTCGATAAAGAAAAAAAAAATATTATTTCTGTCAATTTCACCATATGCGCCTCAATTTCACCATCTGCGTCGCGATAAATGTGTGATGTCCAGGTTTTTCATACATATTTTGTATCAGCTGTTTATATGGCATAATTTCTGTAACATGTATCTAGCAGGTCTCTATGCACATTTTAATCGTCCCCCAAAGTGATCTTGGACAATTAGAGGGGTTGATGTCGGGGCACTTATTGCGTCCACCCCCCCCCCCAGTCAGTTTTTTACTTTATATAGAAAATTGTCACTTTTTCCTTAGAAAAATAGGATACTTTACTCCTATATGTACTTATGGATTTAAACACGTTTAAATTGATTTATGTATTCATTTATTAATTACAAGGAAGGAGATGTAAGACATGTCATCTTCTGAACCTTATTTCTTTCTCCACATATATGCTGGAAAATAAATCTTATATGTTCCTTCTGCGCAAGCAAACTGTTGTTAAACAAATTCTTAACCTTCTGTAATTCTTTCCGCCGTTTGTGTATGAGTCCCAGTTTCAGTATCCTTAGATACTGAAACTATCCACCTTTTTATTATTTGGGGACTATATTATAATGGCAACAAACAAAAGATTTTTAGGCGGCTGCTCTTACTCTTTTTTTTAAATAAAATTCTATATAATTCATCATTGATTATTAATGGGGCCCGGCTAATGAAGAATTTAAAAACAGTGTTTTTATATATTTTTAACTAAAAGAATAAAATTTAAAGGAAGATAATTTAAAAAATAAAAAATATTTTGTCACCGAAATATAAAGGGTTTTAACTTGTTGAGACTTTTAAATCACCATTGTAATTTATATGTGTGAAGTTTAGCTGGTATTTTTCCGTTGTGTCACACCCCCTTAGCTCGGCAATATCATTTACCGTGAGTGTTAAGGACAAATGATAACTAATTCGACAAGGCGAGATGGTGAGTTTAATGGTACAAAAAGTTTGTGCAAATTTTGAAAATGTGAGAATTAATAGAAGAATCACTGGCGAGGCAGCATTATAGCACATATGTATTTTACCAGATTTTTTAATTTATTTTTAAAGAAGTATTTGTATTTAAGCAAAAATTATTTTCTGATATTTTTTCCAATTTCTACAAAAAAAAGAGGATTATAAATTAGTTTAAAAAATATATACATAAAACTATTTTATATTATTTAATATTATTAATAAATCAATTTTTCCAATTCTTTTATTGTAAATATTTTTAAATAGTACCAGAATTATTTTATAATCCTGGAAAATTTTCTAAAAATAACCAAAAAAATATTTTAATTTTAAAATATTAATTATTTAATTATTTTATGTCCCATCCAGAGAAACATACATATATTTTTTGTATCGATTCAATATTTGTTTTAAATATTTTTTTTACAAAATTATTAGTAATAATCGTGAAAAAATAACTGTAAATATATGTAAATAAATTCTTTTATTTACATAAAAGAATTTTACAAAAAACAAATAGACGTGGAATTGATTAACAACAACAATACTTAAATATTTAAAATAATTAAGCCTTACAAAATTATCAAGCATTTTTTAAAATTATATCCCTTTTTAATTTAACAAAATAAAAGTTTAAAATATTTTATAGCGATCGAAAATATATTTTTATTCAAATTAAATATTTTATGGCGAACGATTAAAAGATTAATTTATATTTTATTTAAATTTGTAATTTAATTAATTTTTATTTAAAAAATTTAAAATATTAATTAGTATGGAGCAAATAAAAGAGAATAGTATATCAAGTAAATTTTTTAATACATATATTTTTAACATATTTTTTTACAAATATTTTCTTTTTGATAAATTAATTTTGGAACAAATGAATCAAATAAATGAAAATATAAAGAAAAATAAATTTTCTATAATACTTGGTGATCAAATATATGAAATATGTACAGAATTAAGAATTAAAGGGAAAGAATTAGAAAAAACAAATAAAGGTTTAGAAATTAATTTAAAATAAAACAAAAATTAATTTTTAGATGATTTAGATAAATTTTTTTCTTCAATTCGTCTTGCTTCTTGTCGTGAAGATGGGGAACTTGGATTACCTTGTAGAATTAAAATTCTGGAATTATTAGAAATTCGTTTAATGGGGTGGAGAAATAATTTATCAGTTAATAATTTTTTTTAATTATTAAAAAACAATTTTTAAAGCATGCCCGTTATTATGCAAGAAAAGAACGTGAATTGGAAGAATTAAAAAATGAAGATTTATTTAGTACATTTCAGTCAAAAACCAATTCTTGTACATCATCAACTAATTCAATTTCACCAAAATTTATGAATAATAATAACGAGATTAATAATTTATATTCAAAACAAAATTTTGTGGTAAATTTTTTTTTTAAATTTCCTCCCCTAGTATCTTGTCTGATTACCTAATTCAATTCCCAATTTTGAAAAATCTTCATCTCTTCTGAGAGCATTTAAATCAATTTTAATTAATTAATTATATAATTTTTAGTCAAATAAAAATTCCCCCCAATCACCACCATCACAACAACAAAGACCACTTTCAATAGATAATTCTGCTTCTGATATTCAATCACCAATTCCATTATTTCCAGCTCAATTCAATATTCCACCTCCCTCACTTCCACCACCAACTTGTTTGATTGATCCAACAGTTGACAATAATGTTCTAATTTTTATTATAAAAATTAATTTCCAATTTAATTTTTTAGACTATTTAATGTTGTAGAGACCAAACAATTTTAACAATTAATTTGCGTTAAAATTGTTTAAAAATTTATTTAAAACAATTGACGGCACTACTAAAGATGAGGGTGCTATTTCTGCGGACTTTTTTTTTGCGGACTTTTTCCCTTTCTTTTAAATGTTTTACTTGTAGAAACTAACTGTCAAAGGCCCTCCCCTCATTATTTTTCTTGCCTAAGATTGTACATAATGGTCAGACTTTCTTCTTACTCTCCTTCCTCTATTTGCCCTTTGACATATTCAAACAAGAGACATTGATAAAGAGAAGATTAACTTATTTTTTGCCTTTGGAAGACACGTCATTCAAAAAGAATTAAATAAAATTGATTTGGTGTATAACATTATGATTTTCTGTGTAAAAACATTACATTCTTATTTATATTTAAAAATATTCAACAACTGAAAAGAAAGCTTGGCTAGAAAGCTTGGTCTTATTCATAGAAAATGGACCCTTAGATTTGGAGGTTGAACAACTATCAAGGTAAAAAAGAACCAAATCATTTGATTTTAATCTTCTTTATAAATGTTTCTTGTTTGAATATGCCAAGATCAAATAGAGGAAGGAAAGGAAGAAGAAAGTCTGACCATTTTGTACAATCTTAGGTAAGAAAAATAATGGGAGGGGGGGGCATGGTTTGAAATTACCCGCATTTCTGTTCCACAATCACTTGTTCTTTTTCTATGAAGCATTCCGAGATCAGTGATCCATTGTTGAAATTCAGCATCGGGTAATTGCATTTTATCATACAATTTAGTTAAAGTAAAATTTTTTATTAATTGTAACATTTTTACGTTTTTAATGTTTATGTTTATGGTAAACACATATTTTCAAATTGGCATAAAAATTAATCGCTTGACAGTTAGTTGCTACAAGCAAAATTTGCTGCAAGCAAAACAAACAGACTATTTAAAAAGAAACATTTAAAAGAAAGGGAAAAAGTCCGCAAAAGAAGTCCGCAGAAATAGCACCCTCATCTTTAGTAGTGCCCAATTGACTCATTTTTAGTTACAATAAGACCCGTAGCATAGATGGGCTTAGAAAAAGTCCGTGGTTTCAGCTTTAGAGAATTAATTTTAATATTTTAGACAGGAATGGCTAGACCAGCAAGCTTTTTCTTCATTCCATCCCAAACCGGCACATTTGTTCCTGTCCCTCCAGCTATTACTGGATTTAATCTAACAGAGAATTTAGGAATGTTTTCTTCGCCTCCACCACCATTTAAATTTATTCCTCCAAACTTTTATAGTAAATTATTTTTTAATCAAAAATAATTCTTTTTTAAATTAATTAGAAGAAAATAATTCATTAAACAATACAAATAGGAATATCAATGTGGCAGAATATGGAGTGTCTGAATTTGAATTATTACAGCCAAAAATTAAATCAACTCCAAATCTTTTCCGAGAAGAGATTCAAATTCGGAATTCTGATTCTGGAAAAGGTTAAAGTGTACTTTTAGTTTAGCGGAACACAATCCAAATTTTTTATCCTTCATGGAATTGATTTTATCCTAAATTTATGCCACTTTCTGTCTAGATATGAGTTATCTAATGCTGATTGTAATATACATAGCGTATATGCTCAAATAATTATCCTGGTTAATTATTATTTCAATCTCTCGCTGGAGGGGCTAATTAATCGAGAGGGGCGCTGAATTTGAGGTGTACATATCTCTATAAATTGCCGACTAAGTTGATTTATTTTATGATACTGATTCTTAAATTGTATGTACTATTAATTAAAATTGATAATGGTTTTTTAAAACTATTCTTGAAAAATAGGGTAATTATTAGAGGGTAATTATTTGAGAGAAGGTAACCATTTGCGCATATACGTATCATAATAATTGAAATTAATTTATACTACTTTAAGTAATGGGAGTAAAAGGTCGTCGTGTGGCATTAATAGAAGAACTTAGTAATACAGTTATAAGTTTCCAAAAAGTGGATCCAAAATGTCAAAGTCGTCAATTAACAATAATTGCCGAGGCACAAAATGCAATAGAAAATGCAAAATCTTTAATTGCCGAAACTATTGAACGAAATATTTCACCAAATAGAAAAGTAAATTTTTCAATATATAGTTTTAAGAAATGGGAAAATAAATGACTAATTTGTAGCGTATAAGAGAAACTTATTTAGATTTATTTATTCACGAGCGTTGAGGTGCCGCTTCGCGGCACCTCAACGCTCGTACATTAGTTTTTTAAATTTTTAAAAATTCAAATTTAATTTTTTTGGTTTTATTTTTAAGTAGTTTTTTGTAAAAAATGAGTTTTTGTTAAAAGGTTTTTAGACATAAAATATTCCGCGATCCAAAAATAAGTTTTTTAAAATTCAGATTTCAGAGGTTTTTTTAAAAATTTTAAATTATTAGCAACAAAGTAGAAAATTTTATTTTTTGACTTAAGATTTGGCTTTAAAACAGTGTATTTTCGACAATAAATCCAATTAGTTCATAAAGAAAAGAAACAAAATCATTCAAAATAAAGAAACATGCGCATATCTAAACAAAGGATTTAAGGGAAAAAGGGATATCTGGAAAACTTATACTTATGTATATCTGAATGCTTATGCCCCTAAATGATTTCGCATTTGTTCAAACCAAATTTAATTTCAGTGGGTTATCAGTAGGGCTCCCATTTATATGGAAATCCATATTTTTTTCCTGAATTCCTATGACTATGAAACGTACGAAAAACATGTTTTTGGCACGTTTTAAGATTTCTAGAATGGTCTTTATAATCCATATTTTCCATATTTTTCCATATTTTGGCTTTATGCCCATATTTTCCATATTTTTCCATATTTAGCCTTTATTTCCATATTTTATATCAATATTTCGCCTTTTTTGAATATTTTGGTCCATATTTGGTCATTTTTTGTTAAATTTTAGTAAAAATTGGCGAAAATTTTCAAAATTTTTGGTAAAAAAAATTTGTTCGAAAATTTTTCAATAAAATTTATTTTCAAAAAAAGTTAACAAATTTTAATTTCATAAATTCATCTAGAACGTTCTTAAAATGCAAGGATAAAGGCAAAATAATTGTTTTCTACATAAAATACTGATTTTAAAAATATCTTTTCACTATTTTTTTATCCATATTTCGGGATTTTATATCCATATTTAGTGTTTATTTCCATATTTATATCCATATTTCAGGATTTTATATCCATATTTTATGTCCATATTTTTCGATTTTATATCCATATAAATGGGAGCCCTAGTTATCAGGAATTTTGATTGTGTTAAGGGAATTTGTAGGGAATAAAGACATATCGGGGAAAAATTCCGTCATATGTCCCGGAAACCGATTCGGACAAATGATATGTCATTCGAAAGAGCTCAACGAGCTGAGTCGAACGACACCAAAATTAGCTGGGGGACTCACCTATGGGCCGAGATATAGGTCCCCGAAAATCGAAAAACCATAGGGGGGAGTAAGCTCAATTTTGGGGTGAAAAATTTGATATTTTGAATGATAGCTCATTCGAAAGAGCTCCTCGAGCTGAGTCGAATGACACCAAAATCAACAAAATCCGACTTGATTGGACCGAGATATAGACCTCTAAAAATCGAAGATCCAAAGGGGCGATTTTTGGAATAAAAAATTTTTCACACAAATAATACCTCGTTCGAAAGAGCTTGGCGAGCTGAGTCGAATGACACCAAAATCACCATGATTGAACAAAATTAGACAAAGTTATGACACAAAAAACAAAAAACCTAAACCTAAGGAGCGTCGGCGAGGCGCTTGTGCAAAACCCCGCGCTTCGCGCGGGGTTTTGCGGCACGCGCCTCGCGGGGAGTCTACGGGCGATGGGTCTGGGCTCGTAACATGAGCCTATTCCTATCTCCCTTGCTTTGGACGTATTTGGGGCCTCCTTAGCAGCGAAAATCTCCACAGATGCCATAGGTAAGGAGCTAAAATAAAAGACCATAACTTTGTTCAATCATGTCGGATTTTGTTAATTTTGGTGTCATTCGACTCAGCTCGATGAACTCTTTCGAATGAGCTATTATTTTTCATATTCGAATTTTTTACCCCAAAAAAGTGCTTGGTCCCCCCTATGGTTTTTCGATTTTCGAGGACCAATATTTCGGCCCATAGGTGAGTCCCCCAGCTAATTTTGGTGTCGTTCGACTCAGCTCGTTGAGCTCTTTCGAATGACATATCATTTGTCCGAATCGGTTTCCGGGACATATGACGGAATTTTACCCATATCGGAATAGCGTCTAGCAAAAAACCCAAGTATAGCTCGACCTGTTTTATTTTCTTTTTTTCGTTGCAAGGTGTTTTGCCACTAATTTTACCCTTTTTTTTCGTTTTTAAGAATTTTATAAATTGAGGCTTTAAGACTGCGGGCCACAAAATGTGAGCTTTCAAAGCAGAAGAAAAACGAATAGCTTTTAAAAATTTTTTGAAAATTAAAATCTTTCGTTTTGCTTCTAAAATAAAAATTAAGAGTCGCGTTTCTTTCGATACCGAAACGTTTTTTAAAAAAATTTAGGTTTCGTTAAGTTTCGCTTTGCTGAAAAAAATTTTGCTGACAGTGCAAGTCAGCACTTGGTTTCACTCAAAATCTACGGTTATTGAAATATTCCCCTAAAGCCCTCTTGAGCCTACATACAATCAATCCACAAAACACTCGATTTTCCCTTTGGAACCTCCAAAATACGGTAGTTCAAAACCGGTTAACCGATCTCCTTTTGTTGATGTGGGTTAAGTTTCGAATCCAGGTATGGAAATGTACTTAAAAAATTTTCTTTCCAAAAATAAATGTTTTTAAACTTTGATTTTAATTTTATGGTAGTATTTTTTAATTTTTAACTTGAGAAAAGTTTAAAAATTTTAACTTAGTCGTGAATTTTCCAAAATTTACGCCAACGGCGCAAAAAGGATGTGATAATAAGAATGTGATAGCTTCTTTCGGCAAATTTCATGACTTTTAAAAAGGGGTACACCCCAACTTACCGCGAGCCCAACTCGTCGCAGAGCTATAACTTCGTTCAGAATGGTCGAATCCGGGACGCCCTGGTATGGTTCGATTCAGCTCGTTGAGGCGCATCGAAACATACCAAGACGTACCGGATTCGACAATTCTGAACAAAGTTATAGCTCTGCGGTAAGTTGGGCTTGCAGTAAGTTGGCCTGCTCCCTTTAAAAAGTATAGATAGCAAATTAAAAACAGTCTATAAGAGGTCGAAAATATTTTATTATCCTTTTTTGATTCCCTAAATCCCACTACCGTATTTTCTCAATTAATTCCCCTCCCTCGAATAATTCCCCGTCTCGATTAATTCCCCCTGCCAGAGAAAGGTTGAAACAATAATTCCCCTCCCTCGAATAATTCCCCTCTCTCAAAAGAATTACACATTTTTTTCTTCTCCTTTTTCCCTCTCTTAAAAAAGTAGACATGGATCAAAGTAGATTTAACAGCTGAAATATCAAGGTATAGGATTTAGGGATGGCGTATTACAGGATAGCAATAGATTTGAACGTAATCAGGAAATATCAGAGGATTGAAGGGATAACAGGAGATATATTCGAAGGAGACGAAATTTAATTCAAATAGTGGGATAATGGGATAGTACAAAAAATAATATATAAAGCAGGTAAGTTTATATGGTTCCATACGTGGTGATATAATATATATCCCTTAGTATCGTATCATACAATGACCCCTTATGTGGTACCATAGTCTTAATACACCCATTTTCGAGTGGCGGTACGACAATTGCGGATACGCACGTGCGGATGCGACGATTGAGGATAGAAAATTTTTAAAAAGTTTAAGATTTTTTAAGTGCCACATTTGTCTAAAAATGATTCGGAAACCGTCAGAAGTCTGAAGCTGACAGCCGGGACAAAAAAACGGAATATCATTTCAATCATTTTTAAAATTTTTTAAAATTTTTTATCCGCAATTGTCGCATCCGCACATGCGTATCCGCAATTGTCGTAACACCTTTCGAGTACACAATGAACTAAGTAACCATAAGCATGTTTTATGGATTCATGATGGGGAATATAATGAAATAGAAGATAAATAAAGAAAGAAAAGACAATGCCAAAACTTCATACTTTTTAAAATTCAGGAATGGGTTGAAAAAAATAATTCCCCTCCCTCGATTAATTTCCCCTGCCAGAGATAGGTTGAAAAAATAATTCCCCTCCCTCGATTAATTCCCCCTGCCAGAGATAGGTTGAAAAAATAATTATAATTGAAAAAATAAAAATAATTGAAAAAATAAAAATAATGCCAGAGATAGGTTGAAAAAATAATTCCCCAGGGAAATTAATCGAGAAAATACGGTATATCCTACAAACAGTCGAAGACGATTTAATCCATTCTACTTTGTTAAACAACATATTAAGACAACGATTTGCCTTCTAGATTTTGGCACGAAGGCAAAGCTTTAGTACATTATGTACCAATGACACATAAAATTCACATTTCCTTTGAAGATTAGACCAAACATATAATTGACCTCGGAAAATCAACTATTTGATTAAATTTGATTTCATTTATATCAAATGATATAATGGGATGATCAAATATCAAATAATATGAAAGTTATTTGATTATCCCAAAAATTCAATTTTTTAGTTAGAAAATGGTGAAAAGTTGTTAATTTAACACCATATAGTCTAAAATTGATATCATGGGATTGAGGGGGCTATATGGGAATTAAAAGTGATACATGGGGATTAGGATGGCTATCGGTGGATTAAGGGTGATATAAAATGGCTTGGGTGGATATCGATTGATTAGGAGGAAAATCGGGAGATTAAGTGGGATATCGGGGGCTTTGCAGGTAAATCATCAGATTTGTAGGGATATCGGTTGATTAAACCTTAAAGAATTCTCAAATTTTTGCCTGCGGCGCATTAAAGTAAGAAATCTGCTGTTTGATCTCCTTAAATTTTCTAAAGTTTAGGCTATGGCTGTTAAAGTGCGGCTGCTTTGAAGTAATATATTGTGTTGATTAAAGAAGGATTCTTCTAAATACCTTGATATCTCCCTTATTTCCTTCAAAACATTAATCTCACAATACTTTCTCCTCCAAATTAATTACACTTTAAACCACCACTTTAATCCCTCTAAATCCACTTATATACCCAGAAAACCTTTTTATCTTCAGATCTACTTATCTCTTAAAATCAACTTATATTCTCAGGTATCCCCTTTAGTCACTCCAAATCCCCATTAATTCCTGATAAATTAACCAATACGTCCTGAGATCGTTATATTTTTAGACTTTATCCTGTAAAAATTTTATTACTTAAAACACCGATCCTCTGTCACGAACTCAACTTCCTCGCTGATTCGGTGCGGGGAACCCCGAAATGCCTGCTCCTGTTAGTTCGGAGTACAACCCAGCTTATTGATAGGGCTCCCATTTATATGGAAATCCATATTTTTTTCCTGAATTCCTATGACTATGAAACGTACGAAAAACATGTTTTTGGCACGTTTTAAGATTTCTAGAATGGTCTTTATAATCCATATTTTCCATATTTTTCCATATTTTGGCTTTATGCCCATATTTTCCATATTTTTCCATATTTAGCCTTTATTTCCATATTTTATATCAATATTTCGCCTTTTTTGAATATTTTGGTCCATATTTGGTCATTTTTTGTTAAATTTTAGTAAAAATTGGCGAAAATTTTCAAAATTTTTGGTAAAAAAAATTTGTTCGAAAATTTTTCAATAAAATTTATTTTCAAAAAAAGTTAACAAATTTTAATTTCATAAATTCATCTAGAACGTTCTTAAAATGCAAGGATAAAGGCAAAATAATTGTTTTCTACATAAAATACTGATTTTAAAAATATCTTTTCACTATTTTTTTATCCATATTTCGGGATTTTATATCCATATTTAGTGTTTATTTCCATATTTATATCCATATTTCAGGATTTTATATCCATATTTTATGTCCATATTTTTCGATTTTATATCCATATAAATGGGAGCCCTACTTATTGATGTTTTGAAAATTTAAAAAATTGATATTTGTTCAAATATTTGTCATTTTTGACCATTTGTTTCAAATATTTTCATTATATTTAATTTCGTTTTTTTCTCGGATTTACTGATTTATATGCATATTACCTCGAAGCTTTTCCAAATTCAAATCCAATACCCCTCTTTATCCTAAATTCTCCTAATCATAATCCTTAATCCTCCTAAAATCACCCAATTTTCCACAATGACCCTTTAATACTATGTACTCAACTATACTGACTTAAATGGTGTTACAGTAAAGTATCATAGTTGCGACAAAATTAGCTCACGCGATTAAATGGCACTCGGCTGGTCTCCCTGCGATTAAATGGCAAACGGCTGGCACTCCTGCGATTAAATGGCGGACGGCTGGTTTTTTATTTACAGTTAATTTTTCTTCAAAAATTAGAGAAAAACAACTTTTTCTTGAGCGTAGAAGTGCTAACAATAGGTAAGAGAACACTACCGCGGCCGTGCTAGAGAAATTTTTTTTTGTTATTTTTCGCTTTTATTTTTAAAGTCTTTTGTTTTTTTTCTCTAAATTATCGTTTAAAAATTTTCGCTTTAATAAAAATTCACTTTTTTAAGATGAAAAACTTGTAAACAATTATATCGTTTTAGTATAGTTAATAGCAAATAAAAAAATTACCTAAATAGTTTCGTTTATTTCCTTGAAATTTCTAGGCATTCAAACATGAAGAAGACAAAATAATTTCAATTCCACAGGAAGATAAGAAAAATAAGATGATTAATAAAGAACAGTTTAAAATTATAAGAGAGAATGAGGGTTCTTTAAAAATTGCCTCTAATGATGCTGCTCTTTTAAATGTATGTTTAATAATTTACTTACCGTATTTACTCTGGTAATTCCCCAGGGGGATTATTGTTTCAACCCATCCCCATGGTGGGGAATTAATAGAGACTGGGGTATTACTAGAGTAAATACGGTAACTTATTTCCTCAATTAAATAATTACTCTGCGAAAATTGATTGAAGCTGATATGGAAATAGTAAAATATATTTTAGTTAGCTCAAGAAGCAGTTAACGAATGTCTTAAACAAATCTCTGTTAAAGCAATAACAACAAATAAAAGTTCTCAAAACCAAATGGAAGACAAAGAAATAAAATCAAATTCAGAGACAACACCGAGGTGTGAAAGTTATTTTATTTATACTTATAAATAGGGTTTTGAAATTTTAACTATCAAATTGATTTTCACAATAATCAAGGGATAAACTAATATTGAGAGTTGAAATATATTTAATATTATTCTAGCAATAAGGAGAGCAAATATGTATATGACAGAGATGCAATGATGGAAATCAGAAAAATAGTGCAAAATAGTCCTTCAATTATGGCTGAAGCTAGTCAACAATTACTTAATGATTTGGATATTCTTTGTTTATAATATTATTATAAAAGATTCAAATTAATTTACGTATGTAAATAAGTTCTTTTTGAAGAACTCGGCAAGATGAGATATGGGGACTAAAATAGTCAAAAATATTTACAAATATGTAAAAGTTTTTTAAAAGTTTTGTTGAAAAATGTCCAGATATATTATTTCTGTCAATTTCACCATATGCGCCTCAATTTCACCATCTGCGTCGCGATAAATGTGTGATGTCCAGGTTTTTCATACATATTTTGTATCAGCTGTTTATATGGCATAATTTCTGTAACATGTATCTAGCAGGTCTCTATGCACATTTTAATCGTCCCCCAAAGTGATCTTGGACAATTAGAGGGGTTGATGTCGGGGCACTTATTGCGTCCACCCCCCCCAGTCAGTTTTTTACTTTATATAGAAAATTGTCACTTTTTCCTTAGAAAAATAGGATACTTTACTCCTATATGTACTTATGGATTTAAACACGTTTAAATTGATTTATGTATTCATTTATTAATTACAAGGAAGGATTCTTTCATTCCTCCAATTTTCTTTCATTCCTCCAATTTTCTTTCATTCCTCCAATTTTCTTTCATTCCTCCAATTTTCTTTCATTCCTCCAATTTTCTTTCATTCCTCCAATTTTCTTTCATTCCTCCAATTTTCTTTCATTCCTCCAATTTTCTTTCATTCCTCCAATTTTCTTTCATTCCTCCAATTTTCTTTCATTCCTCCAATTTTCTTTCATTCCTCCATAAAAATTTTTTAAAAATAATCTTCATGGGAAACGCAAAAAGACCCTGCACATCGATTAATACAGACAGTGAGATTGATCAAACACCGATCTTAACACAAACACAACTTGAACAAATTTCCTGTAATGTTGTCCAACTTCTCACACCAATAATCGAAACAACTATAAAAACATTATTTCAACAAATTCAGCAACAACTAAACATTAATCTTCCTCAATCCGAGCCCCAACAACAAAAAACTTCTCGATGGGGTTGCCCCCCAAACTTAATGCCACCAAAAATTAAACAAGCTGCAATGACAATTGAACAGCTTCAACAGCCCGTATTTGATGAAAATTTGAAAGAACTTTATAAAAAGAAGAGTTTTTACGCAGTCATTGAAAGATTTCCAGAATTGGAAAATGAGGAAGAAGACTTAAAGAACATAGAAAGAAATGTTCAAATAGTAATAAACAACAAAAACTTTAAAGAAGCAAAAAATTTCGAAATTAAACGACACGGGATCAAGAAGCAAAACAATTATCATCGAATCATCAAAGTTAAATTTTCGACTCCAGCTGCCGCACATTCATTTATTAATCAATATAGAACAATACACAAACCTACCTTAGGTGGGCATAGTCCTTTCGCAAGAAGGGACTTAACCCCACCTGAACTACAACTACAAAACTACCTCAAACAACAGGTTAAAGAAATCAATACAAAACATGGAAATGGCACAGCTTGTTACCGTAATCTTAAAATTTTTTATAAAAAGCAAGTGAACTTGGACTAGGATTTAGGGACCTCACAGAAAAATACTCAAGAAAATAACAAAAAAATAAAAAATTTAAATTGCTTACTTTTAAATATACGCTCCATTAATTCCGAAAAAGTTGCATATAAATTAGTTGAATTGGAAAATTATTTAAATAAAAACAATATTCATGTAGCGTTTATATCCGAAACATGGCTAACCGATAAAATATCTTCCGAATCCCTCACAATTTCTGAAAATTATAATTTATTAAGAGTAGATAGAGCAAAATCAAGAGGAGGCGGCGTAGGTGTAGTTTATAAAAAGGAACTAAAAATTATATATATTCCATCTCTTTCAATCTCCGAATTTAGTCATGAGCTTCTTACCCTCGATATATACTCTGAATTTAAAAGGATTCGATTCCATCTAATATATAGACCACCAAATACAAAATTGTCAGACGATAAAAAATTTTGGGAAATTATAAAGAAAAAGTACAAAGATGAACTTTCAAATGTTATATTAGGGGATTTCAACTTCCCAAAAATAAATTGGCAGGAGTTTGCACTTCCGAAAGATAAACAAAGCTTATATTTTTATAATACAATAAATAAACTAAATTTAAATCAGGTTATAAGGGAGTCAACAATGTGTAACAATTCCCATACACTAGATTTAATTCTCCAAAATAAACAATTAATCGAAAAATATAATATTATAGAGGACTTAGTTCTGAGTGACCACAAACCGATAGTATTTGAAGTAGCTTTTCCAATCGATAAAATAACATCTGAAAATAAAAGAAAAGTTGTATTATTTAAGAAGGGAAAATATAAGATTATCAATTGGTATTTAGCTCAATATGACTGGTTCAATCTATTTAATGACAAAAATCCCTCAGAAATGGCTGAAATACTAAATTCTATAATAAGCCAAGCAATCCAAAAATTCATCCCATCTAAAAAATTTGGCAAAAAAATACCCATGAAATATCCTAAAGAAATTCGAGAAACAATCAAACAAAAGGCTGTTTCCTGGAAAAAGCTAAAATTAGGTGAGATCAGTAAGGAAGAATATAAAAGTCTTGAAATTAAATGTAAATTACAAATAGAAAAATATAAAAACAATTATCTGTCAAAAAGGATAGGATCTGGGCATATAGGGGAAATTCATAAATTAATGAAAAAAAATCGATATAACTTCTCTGGCATACCAATACTTAAGCAATCTGAGGAAAGTGACCCAATAATATCTGACACAGAGAAAGTTAATATATTTAGAACTATTTTTGAAGAAATAGTTAATGGAGATATAAACAATAAGCAAGCAAACCTTGAAGCCGATTATAGGGATGAATACCGGGAAGAAATTATTTTCGAACCATATATAATAGAAAAATTGCTTAAGAAGCTCCCCAATAAATTATCTCATAGCCCTGAGAGTAGCAATCAATATTTCTTAAAAAAATGTTCTACCCCATTAGCCCTTCCCTTATCAATTTTATATAACAATACATTCAAGACAGGAATTGTCCCTGAATTATGGAGAACTGCACATATTCTACCTATATTTAAAAAAAAGGGGTCATTAAATGACCCAAAGAATTACAGACCAATTGCTCTAACATCTCCAATCTGTAGAGTTTTTGAGCGCCTCGTAGCGAATAACATATTAGAACACCTTAACAAAAATAAATTAATTGCCGAAGAGCAATTCGGATTTTTACCTAAGAGCTCGTGCACTCTCCAAATTCTATCATCTATGCAAGACTGGTACAACTCTCTTGATAAGAAAATAGGTACGGACATCATATATTTTGATTTTGAAAAAGCTTTTGATAAAGTAGATCACGAAATACTTATTAGGAAATTACATGAAATTAAAATAGATAGGGTAACAATTGCTTGGATAGCAAATTTTCTATCTAATCGATCTCATACTGTAAAAATAGGTGAGAATTACTCCGAACCATTTTTTCCGAAGACAGGTGTCCCCCAAGGAACTGTGTTAGGACCATTGCTGTTCCTGATATATATAAACGATCTACCCAAACATATTCCGACAAACATAAAAGTAAAATTATATGCAGATGATTTTAAGCTTTACTCAGAAATTAAAACCGAAAAAGATTGTATAGAACTACAAGAAGCTATAAATAATGCTAGTAAATGGGCAATAAATAATAGGCTAAAATTCTCTATCACAAAAGTTAAAGTTTTAAAAATATGCAACAAAATTAAGTTTAACTATGAGATAAATGGCGAAAAAATCGAAGAGGTTAATAACATAAGAGACTTAGGTATATATATAGATAACAAACTTAAATTTGATCAACATATAGCAAAAATTACTAAATCCTCATTTATAAGAGCAAATAATATCCTAAGAATATTACCAAAAACATTACCAATAGACACATATGTTAAGGCATTCAAGACATACGTAAGACCAATTATGGAATATTCCACTGAAAATTTTAGCCCAAAACTAGAATATCTAAATAAGCAATTAGAGAGACCTCAAAGAAGCTTTACAAGGAAAGTTTTAAGATATAAATACAAATACCAGAAAATAAGCTATAACGAAAGACTAAAAAGATGCAAACTCCCTCCAACTAATATTCGTCGTATAAGAACAGATCTTATGACAACCTTCAAAATAATAAAGGGGTGCTATAAAATAAATCCAGAACAAATATTCTCAAAACCTAATAGAAATAATCCGCGCTTGCACAGATATCAAATATTTAAGAAACAAGCTAAGAATAATCATTTCTTTTCACATAGAGTCATAGATAGGTGGAATAAACTTCCAAAAAAAGAAATTGAGAAAATCAATACTATACCACAATTTAAAAAATTTTTAGACAAAATATTAACTACAGAAGATTATAATTTATCAGTATGAATTAATGGAGTGTATTAACATAAAATCCTAACCCAAATGTTCACTTTCTTACCTAAACAAATTTACTTAACATTTAAATAAAATTATTTTTAATACAAATATTCTTTTACACCTAAATATACCTATATATTTTTTATAACATCTAATTTTATACATTTAATTTGTTTTTTTTCTGTGGAGTCCATTATTTATTTATTTTTTTTTAACTTAACATTTAAAAAAACCGTCATATTGTATTTGATTTTTTTATACGTTACCTCTCCATAAGTGATCCCTGTGGATCCAGGAGTTTTATTTTATTGTTTCACATTATATTTATTTGTGTTCGATAAAGAAAAAAAAAAATATTATTTCTGTCAATTTCACCATATGCGCCTCAATTTCACCATCTGCGTCGCGATAAATGTGTGATGTCCAGGTTTTTCATACATATTTTGTATCAGCTGTTTATATGGCATAATTTCTGTAACATGTATCTAGCAGGTCTCTATGCACATTTTAATCGTCCCCCAAAGTGATCTTGGACAATTAGAGGGGTTGATGTCGGGGCACTTATTGCGTCCACCCCCCCCCCCAGTCAGTTTTTTACTTTATATAGAAAATTGTCACTTTTTCCTTAGAAAAATAGGATACTTTACTCCTATATGTACTTATGGATTTAAACACGTTTAAATTGATTTATGTATTCATTTATTAATTACAAGGAAGGAGATGTAAGACATGTCATCTTCTGAACCTTATTTCTTTCTCCACATATATGCTGGAAAATAAATCTTATATGTTCCTTCTGCGCAAGCAAACTGTTGTTAAACAAATTCTTAACCTTCTGTAATTCTTTCCGCCGTTTGTGTATGAGTCCCAGTTTCAGTATCCTTAGATACTGAAACTATCCACCTTTTTATTATTTGGGGACTATATTATAATGGCAACAAACAAAAGATTTTTAGGCGGCTGCTCTTACTCTTTTTTTTAAATAAAATTCTATATAATTCATCATTGATTATTAATGGGGCCCGGCTAATGAAGAATTTAAAAACAGTGTTTTTATATATTTTTAACTAAAAGAATAAAATTTAAAGGAAGATAATTTAAAAAATAAAAAATATTTTGTCACCGAAATATAAAGGGTTTTAACTTGTTGAGACTTTTAAATCACCATTGTAATTTATATGTGTGAAGTTTAGCTGGTATTTTTCCGTTGTGTCACACCCCCTTAGCTCGGCAATATCATTTACCGTGAGTGTTAAGGACAAATGATAACTAATTCGACAAGGCGAGATGGTGAGTTTAATGGTACAAAAAGTTTGTGCAAATTTTGAAAATGTGAGAATTAATAGAAGAATCACTGGCGAGGCAGCATTATAGCACATATGTATTTTACCAGATTTTTTAATTTATTTTTAAAGAAGTATTTGTATTTAAGCAAAAATTATTTTCTGATATTTTTTCCAATTTCTACAAAAAAAAGAGGATTATAAATTAGTTTAAAAAATATATACATAAAACTATTTTATATTATTTAATATTATTAATAAATCAATTTTTCCAATTCTTTTATTGTAAATATTTTTAAATAGTACCAGAATTATTTTATAATCCTGGAAAATTTTCTAAAAATAACCAAAAAAATATTTTAATTTTAAAATATTAATTATTTAATTATTTTATGTCCCATCCAGAGAAACATACATATATTTTTTGTATCGATTCAATATTTGTTTTAAATATTTTTTTTACAAAATTATTAGTAATAATCGTGAAAAAATAACTGTAAATATATGTAAATAAATTCTTTTATTTACATAAAAGAATTTTACAAAAAACAAATAGACGTGGAATTGATTAACAACAACAATACTTAAATATTTAAAATAATTAAGCCTTACAAAATTATCAAGCATTTTTTAAAATTATATCCCTTTTTAATTTAACAAAATAAAAGTTTAAAATATTTTATAGCGATCGAAAATATATTTTTATTCAAATTAAATATTTTATGGCGAACGATTAAAAGATTAATTTATATTTTATTTAAATTTGTAATTTAATTAATTTTTATTTAAAAAATTTAAAATATTAATTAGTATGGAGCAAATAAAAGAGAATAGTATATCAAGTAAATTTTTTAATACATATATTTTTAACATATTTTTTTACAAATATTTTCTTTTTGATAAATTAATTTTGGAACAAATGAATCAAATAAATGAAAATATAAAGAAAAATAAATTTTCTATAATACTTGGTGATCAAATATATGAAATATGTACAGAATTAAGAATTAAAGGGAAAGAATTAGAAAAAACAAATAAAGGTTTAGAAATTAATTTAAAATAAAACAAAAATTAATTTTTAGATGATTTAGATAAATTTTTTTCTTCAATTCGTCTTGCTTCTTGTCGTGAAGATGGGGAACTTGGATTACCTTGTAGAATTAAAATTCTGGAATTATTAGAAATTCGTTTAATGGGGTGGAGAAATAATTTATCAGTTAATAATTTTTTTTAATTATTAAAAAACAATTTTTAAAGCATGCCCGTTATTATGCAAGAAAAGAACGTGAATTGGAAGAATTAAAAAATGAAGATTTATTTAGTACATTTCAGTCAAAAACCAATTCTTGTACATCATCAACTAATTCAATTTCACCAAAATTTATGAATAATAATAACGAGATTAATAATTTATATTCAAAACAAAATTTTGTGGTAAATTTTTTTTTTAAATTTCCTCCCCTAGTATCTTGTCTGATTACCTAATTCAATTCCCAATTTTGAAAAATCTTCATCTCTTCTGAGAGCATTTAAATCAATTTTAATTAATTAATTATATAATTTTTAGTCAAATAAAAATTCCCCCCAATCACCACCATCACAACAACAAAGACCACTTTCAATAGATAATTCTGCTTCTGATATTCAATCACCAATTCCATTATTTCCAGCTCAATTCAATATTCCACCTCCCTCACTTCCACCACCAACTTGTTTGATTGATCCAACAGTTGACAATAATGTTCTAATTTTTATTATAAAAATTAATTTCCAATTTAATTTTTTAGACTATTTAATGTTGTAGAGACCAAACAATTTTAACAATTAATTTGCGTTAAAATTGTTTAAAAATTTATTTAAAACAATTGACGGCACTACTAAAGATGAGGGTGCTATTTCTGCGGACTTTTTTTTTGCGGACTTTTTCCCTTTCTTTTAAATGTTTTACTTGTAGAAACTAACTGTCAAAGGCCCTCCCCTCATTATTTTTCTTGCCTAAGATTGTACATAATGGTCAGACTTTCTTCTTACTCTCCTTCCTCTATTTGCCCTTTGACATATTCAAACAAGAGACATTGATAAAGAGAAGATTAACTTATTTTTTGCCTTTGGAAGACACGTCATTCAAAAAGAATTAAATAAAATTGATTTGGTGTATAACATTATGATTTTCTGTGTAAAAACATTACATTCTTATTTATATTTAAAAATATTCAACAACTGAAAAGAAAGCTTGGCTAGAAAGCTTGGTCTTATTCATAGAAAATGGACCCTTAGATTTGGAGGTTGAACAACTATCAAGGTAAAAAAGAACCAAATCATTTGATTTTAATCTTCTTTATAAATGTTTCTTGTTTGAATATGCCAAGATCAAATAGAGGAAGGAAAGGAAGAAGAAAGTCTGACCATTTTGTACAATCTTAGGTAAGAAAAATAATGGGAGGGGGGGGGGGCATGGTTTGAAATTACCCGCATTTCTGTTCCACAATCACTTGTTCTTTTTCTATGAAGCATTCCGAGATCAGTGATCCATTGTTGAAATTCAGCATCGGGTAATTGCATTTTATCATACAATTTAGTTAAAGTAAAATTTTTTATTAATTGTAACATTTTTACGTTTTTAATGTTTATGTTTATGGTAAACACATATTTTCAAATTGGCATAAAAATTAATCGCTTGACAGTTAGTTGCTACAAGCAAAATTTGCTGCAAGCAAAACAAACAGACTATTTAAAAAGAAACATTTAAAAGAAAGGGAAAAAGTCCGCAAAAGAAGTCCGCAGAAATAGCACCCTCATCTTTAGTAGTGCCCAATTGACTCATTTTTAGTTACAATAAGACCCGTAGCATAGATGGGCTTAGAAAAAGTCCGTGGTTTCAGCTTTAGAGAATTAATTTTAATATTTTAGACAGGAATGGCTAGACCAGCAAGCTTTTTCTTCATTCCATCCCAAACCGGCACATTTGTTCCTGTCCCTCCAGCTATTACTGGATTTAATCTAACAGAGAATTTAGGAATGTTTTCTTCGCCTCCACCACCATTTAAATTTATTCCTCCAAACTTTTATAGTAAATTATTTTTTAATCAAAAATAATTCTTTTTTAAATTAATTAGAAGAAAATAATTCATTAAACAATACAAATAGGAATATCAATGTGGCAGAATATGGAGTGTCTGAATTTGAATTATTACAGCCAAAAATTAAATCAACTCCAAATCTTTTCCGAGAAGAGATTCAAATTCGGAATTCTGATTCTGGAAAAGGTTAAAGTGTACTTTTAGTTTAGCGGAACACAATCCAAATTTTTTATCCTTCATGGAATTGATTTTATCCTAAATTTATGCCACTTTCTGTCTAGATATGAGTTATCTAATGCTGATTGTAATATACATAGCGTATATGCTCAAATAATTATCCTGGTTAATTATTATTTCAATCTCTCGCTGGAGGGGCTAATTAATCGAGAGGGGCGCTGAATTTGAGGTGTACATATCTCTATAAATTGCCGACTAAGTTGATTTATTTTATGATACTGATTCTTAAATTGTATGTACTATTAATTAAAATTGATAATGGTTTTTTAAAACTATTCTTGAAAAATAGGGTAATTATTAGAGGGTAATTATTTGAGAGAAGGTAACCATTTGCGCATATACGTATCATAATAATTGAAATTAATTTATACTACTTTAAGTAATGGGAGTAAAAGGTCGTCGTGTGGCATTAATAGAAGAACTTAGTAATACAGTTATAAGTTTCCAAAAAGTGGATCCAAAATGTCAAAGTCGTCAATTAACAATAATTGCCGAGGCACAAAATGCAATAGAAAATGCAAAATCTTTAATTGCCGAAACTATTGAACGAAATATTTCACCAAATAGAAAAGTAAATTTTTCAATATATAGTTTTAAGAAATGGGAAAATAAATGACTAATTTGTAGCGTATAAGAGAAACTTATTTAGATTTATTTATTCACGAGCGTTGAGGTGCCGCTTCGCGGCACCTCAACGCTCGTACATTAGTTTTTTAAATTTTTAAAAATTCAAATTTAATTTTTTTGGTTTTATTTTTAAGTAGTTTTTTGTAAAAAATGAGTTTTTGTTAAAAGGTTTTTAGACATAAAATATTCCGCGATCCAAAAATAAGTTTTTTAAAATTCAGATTTCAGAGGTTTTTTTAAAAATTTTAAATTATTAGCAACAAAGTAGAAAATTTTATTTTTTGACTTAAGATTTGGCTTTAAAACAGTGTATTTTCGACAATAAATCCAATTAGTTCATAAAGAAAAGAAACAAAATCATTCAAAATAAAGAAACATGCGCATATCTAAACAAAGGATTTAAGGGAAAAAGGGATATCTGGAAAACTTATACTTATGTATATCTGAATGCTTATGCCCCTAAATGATTTCGCATTTGTTCAAACCAAATTTAATTTCAGTGGGTTATCAGTAGGGCTCCCATTTATATGGAAATCCATATTTTTTTCCTGAATTCCTATGACTATGAAACGTACGAAAAACATGTTTTTGGCACGTTTTAAGATTTCTAGAATGGTCTTTATAATCCATATTTTCCATATTTTTCCATATTTTGGCTTTATGCCCATATTTTCCATATTTTTCCATATTTAGCCTTTATTTCCATATTTTATATCAATATTTCGCCTTTTTTGAATATTTTGGTCCATATTTGGTCATTTTTTGTTAAATTTTAGTAAAAATTGGCGAAAATTTTCAAAATTTTTGGTAAAAAAAATTTGTTCGAAAATTTTTCAATAAAATTTATTTTCAAAAAAAGTTAACAAATTTTAATTTCATAAATTCATCTAGAACGTTCTTAAAATGCAAGGATAAAGGCAAAATAATTGTTTTCTACATAAAATACTGATTTTAAAAATATCTTTTCACTATTTTTTTATCCATATTTCGGGATTTTATATCCATATTTAGTGTTTATTTCCATATTTATATCCATATTTCAGGATTTTATATCCATATTTTATGTCCATATTTTTCGATTTTATATCCATATAAATGGGAGCCCTAGTTATCAGGAATTTTGATTGTGTTAAGGGAATTTGTAGGGAATAAAGACATATCGGGGAAAAATTCCGTCATATGTCCCGGAAACCGATTCGGACAAATGATATGTCATTCGAAAGAGCTCAACGAGCTGAGTCGAACGACACCAAAATTAGCTGGGGGACTCACCTATGGGCCGAGATATAGGTCCCCGAAAATCGAAAAACCATAGGGGGGAGTAAGCTCAATTTTGGGGTGAAAAATTTGATATTTTGAATGATAGCTCATTCGAAAGAGCTCCTCGAGCTGAGTCGAATGACACCAAAATCAACAAAATCCGACTTGATTGGACCGAGATATAGACCTCTAAAAATCGAAGATCCAAAGGGGCGATTTTTGGAATAAAAAATTTTTCACACAAATAATACCTCGTTCGAAAGAGCTTGGCGAGCTGAGTCGAATGACACCAAAATCACCATGATTGAACAAAATTAGACAAAGTTATGACACAAAAAACAAAAAACCTAAACCTAAGGAGCGTCGGCGAGGCGCTTGTGCAAAACCCCGCGCTTCGCGCGGGGTTTTGCGGCACGCGCCTCGCGGGGAGTCTACGGGCGATGGGTCTGGGCTCGTAACATGAGCCTATTCCTATCTCCCTTGCTTTGGACGTATTTGGGGCCTCCTTAGCAGCGAAAATCTCCACAGATGCCATAGGTAAGGAGCTAAAATAAAAGACCATAACTTTGTTCAATCATGTCGGATTTTGTTAATTTTGGTGTCATTCGACTCAGCTCGATGAACTCTTTCGAATGAGCTATTATTTTTCATATTCGAATTTTTTACCCCAAAAAAGTGCTTGGTCCCCCCTATGGTTTTTCGATTTTCGAGGACCAATATTTCGGCCCATAGGTGAGTCCCCCAGCTAATTTTGGTGTCGTTCGACTCAGCTCGTTGAGCTCTTTCGAATGACATATCAATTGTCCGAATCGGTTTCCGGGACATATGACGGAATTTTACCCATATCGGAATAGCGTCTAGCAAAAAACCCAAGTATAGCTCGACCTGTTTTATTTTCTTTTTTTCGTTGCAAGGTGTTTTGCCACTAATTTTACCCTTTTTTTTCGTTTTTAAGAATTTTATAAATTGAGGCTTTAAGACTGCGGGCCACAAAATGTGAGCTTTCAAAGCAGAAGAAAAACGAATAGCTTTTAAAAATTTTTTGAAAATTAAAATCTTTCGTTTTGCTTCTAAAATAAAAATTAAGAGTCGCGTTTCTTTCGATACCGAAACGTTTTTTAAAAAAATTTAGGTTTCGTTAAGTTTCGCTTTGCTGAAAAAAATTTTGCTGACAGTGCAAGTCAGCACTTGGTTTCACTCAAAATCTACGGTTATTGAAATATTCCCCTAAAGCCCTCTTGAGCCTACATACAATCAATCCACAAAACACTCGATTTTCCCTTTGGAACCTCCAAAATACGGTAGTTCAAAACCGGTTAACCGATCTCCTTTTGTTGATGTGGGTTAAGTTTCGAATCCAGGTATGGAAATGTACTTAAAAAATTTTCTTTCCAAAAATAAATGTTTTTAAACTTTGATTTTAATTTTATGGTAGTATTTTTTAATTTTTAACTTGAGAAAAGTTTAAAAATTTTAACTTAGTCGTGAATTTTCCAAAATTTACGCCAACGGCGCAAAAAGGATGTGATAATAAGAATGTGATAGCTTCTTTCGGCAAATTTCATGACTTTTAAAAAGGGGTACACCCCAACTTACCGCGAGCCCAACTCGTCGCAGAGCTATAACTTCGTTCAGAATGGTCGAATCCGGGACGCCCTGGTATGGTTCGATTCAGCTCGTTGAGGCGCATCGAAACATACCAAGACGTACCGGATTCGACAATTCTGAACAAAGTTATAGCTCTGCGGTAAGTTGGGCTTGCAGTAAGTTGGCCTGCTCCCTTTAAAAAGTATAGATAGCAAATTAAAAACAGTCTATAAGAGGTCGAAAATATTTTATTATCCTTTTTTGATTCCCTAAATCCCACTACCGTATTTTCTCAATTAATTCCCCTCCCTCGAATAATTCCCCGTCTCGATTAATTCCCCCTGCCAGAGAAAGGTTGAAACAATAATTCCCCTCCCTCGAATAATTCCCCTCTCTCAAAAGAATTACACATTTTTTTCTTCTCCTTTTTCCCTCTCTTAAAAAAGTAGACATGGATCAAAGTAGATTTAACAGCTGAAATATCAAGGTATAGGATTTAGGGATGGCGTATTACAGGATAGCAATAGATTTGAACGTAATCAGGAAATATCAGAGGATTGAAGGGATAACAGGAGATATATTCGAAGGAGACGAAATTTAATTCAAATAGTGGGATAATGGGATAGTACAAAAAATAATATATAAAGCAGGTAAGTTTATATGGTTCCATACGTGGTGATATAATATATATCCCTTAGTATCGTATCATACAATGACCCCTTATGTGGTACCATAGTCTTAATACACCCATTTTCGAGTGGCGGTACGACAATTGCGGATACGCACGTGCGGATGCGACGATTGAGGATAGAAAATTTTTAAAAAGTTTAAGATTTTTTAAGTGCCACATTTGTCTAAAAATGATTCGGAAACCGTCAGAAGTCTGAAGCTGACAGCCGGGACAAAAAAACGGAATATCATTTCAATCATTTTTAAAATTTTTTAAAATTTTTTATCCGCAATTGTCGCATCCGCACATGCGTATCCGCAATTGTCGTAACACCTTTCGAGTACACAATGAACTAAGTAACCATAAGCATGTTTTATGGATTCATGATGGGGAATATAATGAAATAGAAGATAAATAAAGAAAGAAAAGACAATGCCAAAACTTCATACTTTTTAAAATTCAGGAATGGGTTGAAAAAAATAATTCCCCTCCCTCGATTAATTTCCCCTGCCAGAGATAGGTTGAAAAAATAATTCCCCTCCCTCGATTAATTCCCCCTGCCAGAGATAGGTTGAAAAAATAATTATAATTGAAAAAATAAAAATAATTGAAAAAATAAAAATAATGCCAGAGATAGGTTGAAAAAATAATTCCCCAGGGAAATTAATCGAGAAAATACGGTATATCCTACAAACAGTCGAAGACGATTTAATCCATTCTACTTTGTTAAACAACATATTAAGACAACGATTTGCCTTCTAGATTTTGGCACGAAGGCAAAGCTTTAGTACATTATGTACCAATGACACATAAAATTCACATTTCCTTTGAAGATTAGACCAAACATATAATTGACCTCGGAAAATCAACTATTTGATTAAATTTGATTTCATTTATATCAAATGATATAATGGGATGATCAAATATCAAATAATATGAAAGTTATTTGATTATCCCAAAAATTCAATTTTTTAGTTAGAAAATGGTGAAAAGTTGTTAATTTAACACCATATAGTCTAAAATTGATATCATGGGATTGAGGGGGCTATATGGGAATTAAAAGTGATACATGGGGATTAGGATGGCTATCGGTGGATTAAGGGTGATATAAAATGGCTTGGGTGGATATCGATTGATTAGGAGGAAAATCGGGAGATTAAGTGGGATATCGGGGGCTTTGCAGGTAAATCATCAGATTTGTAGGGATATCGGTTGATTAAACCTTAAAGAATTCTCAAATTTTTGCCTGCGGCGCATTAAAGTAAGAAATCTGCTGTTTGATCTCCTTAAATTTTCTAAAGTTTAGGCTATGGCTGTTAAAGTGCGGCTGCTTTGAAGTAATATATTGTGTTGATTAAAGAAGGATTCTTCTAAATACCTTGATATCTCCCTTATTTCCTTCAAAACATTAATCTCACAATACTTTCTCCTCCAAATTAATTACACTTTAAACCACCACTTTAATCCCTCTAAATCCACTTATATACCCAGAAAACCTTTTTATCTTCAGATCTACTTATCTCTTAAAATCAACTTATATTCTCAGGTATCCCCTTTAGTCACTCCAAATCCCCATTAATTCCTGATAAATTAACCAATACGTCCTGAGATCGTTATATTTTTAGACTTTATCCTGTAAAAATTTTATTACTTAAAACACCGATCCTCTGTCACGAACTCAACTTCCTCGCTGATTCGGTGCGGGGAACCCCGAAATGCCTGCTCCTGTTAGTTCGGAGTACAACCCAGCTTATTGATAGGGCTCCCATTTATATGGAAATCCATATTTTTTTCCTGAATTCCTATGACTATGAAACGTACGAAAAACATGTTTTTGGCACGTTTTAAGATTTCTAGAATGGTCTTTATAATCCATATTTTCCATATTTTTCCATATTTTGGCTTTATGCCCATATTTTCCATATTTTTCCATATTTAGCCTTTATTTCCATATTTTATATCAATATTTCGCCTTTTTTGAATATTTTGGTCCATATTTGGTCATTTTTTGTTAAATTTTAGTAAAAATTGGCGAAAATTTTCAAAATTTTTGGTAAAAAAAATTTGTTCGAAAATTTTTCAATAAAATTTATTTTCAAAAAAAGTTAACAAATTTTAATTTCATAAATTCATCTAGAACGTTCTTAAAATGCAAGGATAAAGGCAAAATAATTGTTTTCTACATAAAATACTGATTTTAAAAATATCTTTTCACTATTTTTTTATCCATATTTCGGGATTTTATATCCATATTTAGTGTTTATTTCCATATTTATATCCATATTTCAGGATTTTATATCCATATTTTATGTCCATATTTTTCGATTTTATATCCATATAAATGGGAGCCCTACTTATTGATGTTTTGAAAATTTAAAAAATTGATATTTGTTCAAATATTTGTCATTTTTGACCATTTGTTTCAAATATTTTCATTATATTTAATTTCGTTTTTTTCTCGGATTTACTGATTTATATGCATATTACCTCGAAGCTTTTCCAAATTCAAATCCAATACCCCTCTTTATCCTAAATTCTCCTAATCATAATCCTTAATCCTCCTAAAATCACCCAATTTTCCACAATGACCCTTTAATACTATGTACTCAACTATACTGACTTAAATGGTGTTACAGTAAAGTATCATAGTTGCGACAAAATTAGCTCACGCGATTAAATGGCACTCGGCTGGTCTCCCTGCGATTAAATGGCAAACGGCTGGCACTCCTGCGATTAAATGGCGGACGGCTGGTTTTTTATTTACAGTTAATTTTTCTTCAAAAATTAGAGAAAAACAACTTTTTCTTGAGCGTAGAAGTGCTAACAATAGGTAAGAGAACACTACCGCGGCCGTGCTAGAGAAATTTTTTTTTGTTATTTTTCGCTTTTATTTTTAAAGTCTTTTGTTTTTTTTTCTCTAAATTATCGTTTAAAAATTTTCGCTTTAATAAAAATTCACTTTTTTAAGATGAAAAACTTGTAAACAATTATATCGTTTTAGTATAGTTAATAGCAAATAAAAAAATTACCTAAATAGTTTCGTTTATTTCCTTGAAATTTCTAGGCATTCAAACATGAAGAAGACAAAATAATTTCAATTCCACAGGAAGATAAGAAAAATAAGATGATTAATAAAGAACAGTTTAAAATTATAAGAGAGAATGAGGGTTCTTTAAAAATTGCCTCTAATGATGCTGCTCTTTTAAATGTATGTTTAATAATTTACTTACCGTATTTACTCTGGTAATTCCCCAGGGGGATTATTGTTTCAACCCATCCCCATGGTGGGGAATTAATAGAGACTGGGGTATTACTAGAGTAAATACGGTAACTTATTTCCTCAATTAAATAATTACTCTGCGAAAATTGATTGAAGCTGATATGGAAATAGTAAAATATATTTTAGTTAGCTCAAGAAGCAGTTAACGAATGTCTTAAACAAATCTCTGTTAAAGCAATAACAACAAATAAAAGTTCTCAAAACCAAATGGAAGACAAAGAAATAAAATCAAATTCAGAGACAACACCGAGGTGTGAAAGTTATTTTATTTATACTTATAAATAGGGTTTTGAAATTTTAACTATCAAATTGATTTTCACAATAATCAAGGGATAAACTAATATTGAGAGTTGAAATATATTTAATATTATTCTAGCAATAAGGAGAGCAAATATGTATATGACAGAGATGCAATGATGGAAATCAGAAAAATAGTGCAAAATAGTCCTTCAATTATGGCTGAAGCTAGTCAACAATTACTTAATGATTTGGATATTCTTTGTTTATAATATTATTATAAAAGATTCAAATTAATTTACGTATGTAAATAAGTTCTTTTTGAAGAACTCGGCAAGATGAGATATGGGGACTAAAATAGTCAAAAATATTTACAAATATGTAAAAGTTTTTTAAAAGTTATGTTGAAAAATGTCCAGATATATTATTTCTGTCAATTTCACCATATGCGCCTCAATTTCACCATCTGCGTCGCGATAAATGTGTGATGTCCAGGTTTTTCATACATATTTTGTATCAGCTGTTTATATGGCATAATTTCTGTAACATGTATCTAGCAGGTTTCTATGCACCATTTTAATCGTCCTCCAAAGTGACATGTATCTAGCAGGTCTCTATGCACATTTTAATCGTCCCCCAAAGTGATCTTGGACAATTAGAGGGGTTGATGTCGGGGCACTTATTGCGTCCACCCCCCCCCCAGTCAGTTTTTTACTTTATATAGAAAATTGTCACTTTTTCCTTAGAAAAATAGGATACTTTACTCCTATATGTACTTATGGATTTAAACACGTTTAAATTGATTTATGTATTCATTTATTAATTACAAGGAAGGAGATGTAAGACATGTCATCTTCTGAACCTTATTTCTTTCTCCACATATATGCTGGAAAATAAATCTTATATGTTCCTTCTGCGCAAGCAAACTGTTGTTAAACAAATTCTTAACCTTCTGTAATTCTTTCCGCCGTTTGTGTATGAGTCCCAGTTTCAGTATCCTTAGAATTCTCAGAATGATTCACTTTCTGATGTGTATAACCCGTTTCGATTTTTGGTATTTTATTATATGCTGCCAACAATCACTATGAATCTCAGTTTCTATTTTTGATGTATATGTACTAATCCAATTTCATTTTTTACCTTCTCTAATATATTATGCAATAAGAGGCAAGAGGGTTTCAGCATTTCTTTTCTGCCACTCAAGTGGTACCAAAAACAATTTCTGTTATTTCCTCGTTCCACGCCTCCGAAAAGCCAAATTTCCGTATTTGCCAATTCACGGCCTTTATTATATTTTCTTCTTTATTATATTTTCCCCACTAAAGAAGTTCCAGTTAATTCCAGTTAATTCCAAAGAAGTTCCAGTCCCCACTAAAGAAGTTCCAGCCATCGAAGCTGAAAAACAACAAAAAAGCCTGTAAATAAATATTGTATGAAAAAGGTGAAATGAGGTAAAAATATCATAATATTTTATTATATACATCTATACGGATTAAAGACACGGGCATGCTCTTTATGATAAGTTAGGACTAAGCCGACTGCGTGAATGATGCATAAGGGAAAATATATGATAATTCCTATTTTACTAATTTTCTAAAAAAAGTTTTATCATTTTGTACAAAAAGTAAAAAACCGTCTTGGGGGGGGCGCATTAAGTACCGATGTAGGTAAAATTTAAAGCAGGGAATTACCACATATAAAAAAATAAATAAAATGTAAAATATAAAGAAAAAAATATAAAAAATAAAAATATTAAAACAAAAAAATACAAAAACAATTTTTCTAATTAAACAAATAAATATAATCAGTTGGGATATTCAAATTTAAGAAAACTTTCATTTTTAGAAAAATTAAATTAAAAAAATTTTTTTAACATCACCATAACAACAGAAAATTTTTCATTTTTTGTGTTTTTTCCGTTTATTTTCCTAAATATTTTATGTTTAAAATTGTCGTTGTGTTGCAGTGCTGTGTATTTCAATAATTTTGAAATTTTGTTTGTTTCTTTTTCCCAGTTTTTGTTTCTTCATTTTTTCCAGAATCCTCGTTTGAGTCTTCTACATTTCCATCCTTTCTATCATTTAATGAAAAAAGCTTTCAAATTGATAACAGTTCTTCTGTTTCTTCGCCCTTATCTGAGCCGTCTGCTTCAAAACATTCTTCATCTTCATTTTAAATTTTCTCTCTTTTTCAATCTCTCTCTTGTTGATTTTAATTTTTTTGTTTTTGATTTGATTTGTTTTTCCTCTTCATTGTTGTTGTTATTGTTGTTTTTGTCTTCCTCTTCTTCTTCCTTATTTGTTAATTATTTTATCATATTTTTTGATCCGAAAAAACATATGTGTGGGGGGTGGGTTATAGTATATACGATTTCTACATTTTAACATTTCTCAAAATTATTTTCCTGTTATTCTGTAGAAATCATATATCTATCTAATCTAATTGGGGAGATGAAATTAATTTTTTACAATTACTCTTACTACGTAATTACACGGACCTCTGATTAGCTCGTTCATCTCCAACGAGCTATAATTTTGTCTCGATTTCTATTGGGATGGTGTGCTTAGTATAAGCCTCAGCCTTTTATAGTCGAGAGGGCACTACTGAAGAAAAGGGTGCTTTTTATGCGGACTTATTTTGCGGACTTTTTTTACTTTTAAATGATTCTTTTTTAATGTTTTGGCTGTCTTGCTTGTAGCAAGTTTTGCTTGTAGCAACTAACTGTCAAAGGATTAATTTATATGCCAATTTGAAAAATATGTGTTCACGATTAATTTGAACATTATAAACGTAAAAAATGTTACAATCAATAAAAAATTTTACTTTAACTAAATTTTCAATTATCCGATGATGAATTTCAACAATGGATCACTGATCTTGGAATGCTTCATCGAAAAAGAATATGTGATTGTGGAACAGAGATGCGGGTAATTCCTTGTCCCCCCCCCCCCCCCCCCCATTATTTTTATTACCTAAGATTGTACAACATGGTCAGATTTCCTTCTTCCTCTTTTTCCTCTATTTGAGCTTGGCATATTCAAACAAGAGACATTGTTGATAAAGAGAAGATTAATTGAGTTGTTCAATATTTTTAATTGAGGTGTTCGATATTGAGTTCAATTTATTTTTTCAGTTGTTCAAGATTTTTTAAATATAAGTATGAATGTAATGTTTTTAAACAGAAATGCATAATGTTACACACCAAATCATTTTATATAATTCTTTATTTTGTTTAAATTGTTTTCGAAGGCAAAAAATAATCTTCTCTTTATCAATGTCTCTTGTTCCAGGGCAAATAGAGGAAGGAGAGCAAGAAGAAAATCTGACCTTTATGTACAATATTAGGTAAGAAAAATAATAGGGCCTTTGACAGTTAGTTGCTACAAGTAAAACTTATAAAGGAAAGGAAAAGTCCGCAAAATAAGTCCGCAGAAAAAGCACCCTTTTCTTCAGTAGTGCCGTCGAGAGTTAGTCGGTTGCCAGATAGTCAATATTAGTCCGTATTTAAGCTAGTTTCCGCTCCCGCGCATATTCCCGCTTATTCTATTGTGTTGTTCCCTTCGTAATAAACCTTGTTAATTAGTCCTTCTGTTAGTATCGAACACCCTGGCGTCAGTACCAGAGCTGACCCGACATTTCGGTTTTCGCCGTTTTTTTCGCTTTTTGAATTTTTTTCTTCCTAGAATTTCGATTTCGATATCTTTGGATTTCTTTCGATTTCCGATTCGAAGTTTTTTGCTTCGACGCAGCTCTGCTCGGTACGCAACATTCTATTTCTTTTCCATTTTTTAAAATATTTATATCCCCCAAACTGAAATTAAATTTTGTCTCTGGTTGTTATAGTATCAGCGAATTTAATTTTTTCCTTTGTTAAAAACACTTCCTTATTTTTATTATTATTTTTTTGTTGGGGAATAAGGAAAGATTTTCTAAAAAAAAATTTCGCCTGCGCCGCTTAATATGTTATAACCGCAATAATTCTGATATTAATTGTACCCAAGCTTATATTTTCTTTGTTTCTAATCCCGAATTGCTCAATAATTTGAAAATTAGTGATCCAGTTATTCGGAGATTTTAACTATTTTACGTAATTTCGCCATTTTTCCGAATTTTGGGTATTTTTTTTAAACCTACCGCCTTTTTCCGAACTAACATTAACATAACATACACAGCACTGCAACACAACGACAATTTTAATATACATTAATATACATACATATGCCTAAAAAACGACAATTAAAATATACATACATGTCTAAATCTATTGCGGGAGGAAATGGTTAGGTAACAGAGCGTATAGTTTAAAGTCGACGGGTTTGTTTAACATCATTTATAATTTCATTAAGCTTATCTTTGACATTCAATAATCTATGGTATTATTTGCTGTGCTTGTATTGTAGTATCTATTATTATATCCCATTTAAAATTTTATTATTATTAAAACTAATTTAATAATAAATTATAAAAAATTAATATGCTAAAATATTTTTAGTAATAAAAAGCAAGCGAACTATATATTTAATTAAAATTAATAAAATCCAAATATTTATTTAAAATATACATACATATGTCTAAATCTATTGCGATTTATAGATTTTTGCATATATTTTTTATTTTTCATTATACTAATCGATATGAACTAATTTAGCCACAGAATACAGCCACACAATTGTAGAGCAGCAAGTTTGCACATAAATAAAACACAAGCCAGAATATCGATCATTTCATTTAAAACGCTGAAAAAATAGAGAATTAGAGAAATAGAAGAAAATCTGTAATTTTGGGCGTGAAAGAAAAATAAATTATGTGTTGGTTAGAGTTAGAAGAAGATAGAAGGGGCGAGGCTTACCATAGTTGGTTAGGCGTTGGATAGGATGGAGGGCTGTAATAGTAATTTTGCTAACAAAGAAGCGACGCCTTCTCTATTTTGTGAGCGACGCCTTCTTTATTTTGAAAGAAGGCTTTTATTCTAAAGGTAGTTTTCCTCTTCATTCATATTGATTTCCCCCTCTTGTGTTGTGCTAACCCACTGCCTTTTAGCAAAAAATATGTGTATGTATGAATAATATGTATGTAGTTCTCCGAGCTGGTTGAATGGTTATAAAAATTTATGATTGAATATTTGTGAAATTTTGGCACATTGTTCATATCCCGCCCCACACCTATTTGAGTCTCAGATTAGTTTTCCATTTATTGTCAATCTTTTTTTCCTTAAGCATTACAAGTAAATAAGTTAATGAGCAAAAATTTGGAAAAGAAAAATAGATGGCAACGACAAAAAAACTACATTTATAAGGAAGGAAATTTGATCATTCCGAGAAAATAATGAAAGGGAAATTAATCTGAGACTCAAATAAGGGTGGGGCGGAAAATGAACAAAGTACCGAAATTGTATTTATAACAATTTCGGTATTTATAATTAGTTTTTCGGCATATTTTTTACCTTGATCAGATGTTGATTGAACTCATAAAATGGCGCATAAACTAAAATTTTTCTTCATATACATAAATTAAGCTTATATTATTTTAAAGAATTTTTAGTATTTAAATGTATCATATCAATACATAAATGGCTACATTTTTAAAGACTGAATACAGTAGAAAGAAAATGATTTTTGAGGTTTAAATTTTATTTTTTTATTTTCTAAAATAATATTTAGGGTTATGTTTATGTCCGTAACGCTTTTAGTCAAGATAAACAAACCAAATATTGGATATGTGAATTAAATGAACGAAGAGGAGAGCATTCATGTATGGGCAGAGCTGTAACTAGTATGAGACCTGGGTCTGAAGATTTTGAAGTAACTGTCACTCAAAGCCATAGCCATGCTCCTGGAATTGTTAGTAATTTATTTTCTATTTCTTTACCAGTGTTCATAAATTTCAATTTTGCTCGTACTTCGTACCACCCCTATTTTTGGCCTCGTACCTAGTACTTTTACTCGTACTTTAGAAAAAAGCAAATAGTCTAAAATTTTTATGATTTATTGGAGGTAATTTTAGGACTATAATTCCTCCATGTAAAAATAGAATAATTTTTAAAACAAAATTAAACTTATAAAATAAGTTATTTATGGAAAGAAAAAGGAAAAAATTCCTTGTTCTCTGACCAGGAAGCGAATCCACCTCTAATAGCGTCTTGGTTTAAGCCTAACACCCTCACCACTCGGCCACTCGCTCGTATAAGGGCAATGAAAGAAATTAAACATGTATTTCTTTTAAAAGGTACGCCAACGTTCACCAAGCACAGAAAGTATCAAAAGTGACAGAACTGAGCCTGGAAATGTTCCAGACACTTCTGCCTTTGCTGATGAAATGTCTGAAAATAACGAACAACAAAACGATCAAGTGATTGATGAAATTATAGAAAAACTAAATGATGAGACAGATCAAACAATTATTATTGACGAAATTAAGGCGGTAAGTACTTACGGTTTTCGGGTATACCGAGTTTTGGGTTCCCCTCGTTTTTACTTATTTTTTCCTCTAATTTTTGTTTTTGATAAGTAATGTTAATCAAAAAATGATTAATTTCCTCCTCCGCTTATGTCATCTAGTATCGGAAAAGAGTAATTATGGGATATAGAAATCTTGATTAATTCCAAAAATAATAATTTTCATTCACAAATCCTTGAATCTTTTCGATCCACTTACAAATTAGTATAAATTTTAGCCTAGTCCCCGAGTCAGCAATGATTGTAACACCACACACTTACATACCTTATTGAATTTATCTGGCGCAAAAGCTTTTATGATATTTGAGATTTTTTTTCAATTTTGAAAGTCATTTCGATAAAAAAAATTCTATTTTTTTAGGAAAATATAACAATCGGCCCAACACCTGATCATACAATAAACACTAGTATTCAACAATCAGATAATTCACAACAACTTGATATACCTCCTTCACTTACAACCGAAGAACCTCCACCTATTTTAGAACCTGAAATTGATAATATTTCTGTGTCAGTTTCTGATGCTCAAGTTACCTCTAATAATATTTCAACAGAACCAACCAATTTTTCTCTCCAAAGTTTGAATAAAATAAAACCCTCAACACCTAATGGTAATGCTATATTCGCTTAATCAAATAAACAATTCGCATTTTCACATGCAAATAAAAGTTTACTCCTTTCTAAATATAAAGGTCTCCCGACCTTATCATCCAATTCTTGACTCTTATCTTATTTTTGTTATTCACTTTCTATTCACCCTTAGATTGACCCTATAAATATCCCCGCCTTTTTTATCAGATTTGGCCTAGCCACTTCTTTCCCTTATTATTGTATCCCATATTTATTGGAGAAATAGAATAAATTAATAGAATAATTTAATTCAGTCTAATATGAGCCCCCAGAATAGTAGAACCCGAATTAAGCTACAT